TCACCAAGGCTGCATTTATTTGAGCATTAATATTAAACAGTAATATGGGAAACATGTGACCCTGGACCACAAAGCCAGTCACAAGCAGCATGGGTTTTGTAGCAATAGCCAACAATGCATTGTATGGGTCAAAATAATCGATTTTTCTTTTATGCCAAAAATCATTAGGATATTAAGTAAAGATCATGTTCCATGAAGATATTTAGTAAATTTCCTACCGTAAATATATAAAAACGTAATTTTTGATTAGTAATATGCATTGCTAAGAACTTCATTTGGACAACTTTAAAGGCGATTTTCTCAATATTTTGATTTTTTTTTTGCACCCTCAGATTCCAGATTTTCAAATAGTTGTATCTCGGCTAAATATTGTCATATCCTAACAAACCATACATCAATGGAAAGCTTATTTATTCATCTTTCACACATATTACATATTACAATAAAAACCTTTTTTTTTCTATTTTAAAGTGCCCCTATTATGGCTTTTCGAATATTACCTTTCATGCAGTGTGCCATGTAGCTGTATGTGAACATAAACTATCTGCAATGTTGTGAAGCCGACAGTGCACGATAAATAAAGTTATTGTCTATAAAAAAAAGAGTCGGCTCGCAATCGCCTGAACGAGTCGTCAGGAATTCCAATCTTATTCTGTTACGGCTCTACGTCACGATGTAATACATTTGCATAATGTCCGCCCACAAACCAATTTCCTGTGGTTCACATCATGTCGAGAAGACGCTGTATCCTACGCTGTGAGAGTAGGCTACATTTGTTTTATCACATCTTATAATTACCACAAACTTGACACTTACCACTGAGAAACGTCCTGCTCCAGTCCTGCTTGTGAATCAGTCTCTTGTCGATCAGCCAGTTCAACCGTTTCATCATCAGACTCGGCTCGAATTGGTAAGGTACAATTTCTTCTTCTTCTTCTCTCGAGTTTTTTGGCGGATTGGCAAACCAACGTAAAGGTGCATGTAAGGTACAATCGATACCATCTTTTTTCTATGTATTGACAAGTCTCCAGGGCTGTCATTCCGTCATGGCAATGGGCGTTTCCTTTCCGACACGCGCTGTACGCGGTAGCCAATCTCTCTCTACGGCTCTGGACCAATCACAAATGACTGCGCCATCTGACCAATCATAGCAGTGAGGGTTCAAGGAAAGGACCAGTAGCCCCTCACTGCAGAACACAAGATCCAGGGGGCGGGGTTGGATCCACATCTAGGGGGTGGAGATGGGTGGGTTTAGATGGGTGGGTTTAGGGATCAGGGGGTGGAGTCGGGTAGGTTTAGGTATATGTAAGGTGGGAGGAGTTGGACCACGCCCCCTGGATCTTGTGTTCTGCATTGAGGACCATCTCGAAAGGAGGAGTTTAGAGAGACTGATTCTTTGAACTGCTTCGCACAAGTCGTTTATGAATCATTTAGAAATGAGGTAAAATTAAATCAATTTTTTTATAAAACTAACGTGTTTTTTGACCTTGCATGCATGTAAACCTGTTTTAGGAGACTCATAAAACAATATTAGCAACCTTAAAAATGGCATAATAGGGGCACTTTAATATATTTCAAAATGTAATTTAAGCCTATGGTGGCAAAGCTGAATTTTCAGCAGCCATTACTCCAGTTTAGTGTCACATCAATGATACTTCAGAAATCTGAAATCTGTTCAAGAAAATGTTCTGAAAAAAGTTGTGCTGCTTAAAATTTTTGTAGAAACTGCGCTTTTTCAGGATTCTTTAATGCATACAACGTTCAAAAGAACAGCATTTATTTAAAATAGAATGTTTTTTTTTTCAGTTATCAATTTAATGCATACTTGCTGAATAAAAGTACAACTTTCTTTTAATAAAATCATTCTGAGCACAAACTTGTGAAAGGTAGTGTAAATCTACGGGAACGTGAGTGTTGTTGAGGTGTCCAATACTGAACGCGTTTGTTCACAACTAGGAAAAATACGCACTTTAACTTTTGAGAAGTGGTTTAAAACTGTTCTTAAACGAATTTTTATTCATTTTTATTATTATTTTTACTACAAGTCCTTTTTAAGAAGGTCAGGCCGTTATTACTTAACATGGTGACAGGCGCAGCTCTTCTTCATGCATTTGGATTTAACGGTCACTGACTACGTTTACATGGACATCAGTAATCTAATTATTTACCTTATTCTAAATAAACCAATATTATGATTATGGTGTTTACATGAGTTGCTTTTAGAATATTCCTTTCATGTTCCTGTTTTACATGTTATAGTCTACAGTCTATGGTTATAGTACATAGTTCGATTAATGGCACACGCCATTACGTCCCCACGTGACGCCATCCGACGTCCCCTCCGGAATTTCACGTAAACATATAGTTCGTCTTCGTGATGATGCCATGTACAGTTTTGGGTGTTTCGTTTTTAATTTTATGAACGCTTCAAGTGCAGTTAATTATTTGTCAAACGGTTGACCACTGCCGTGTGTGTATCCGGTCGCAAAAATGACGGTAATAGTGTGATTAAGGTGTTTACGTGTCTATTCTGCACTTCAGTAATGCGACTTTATTGGCATGTCGGGCATTTACAGTATAGGCTATTATTTACAAAACTCTTCAAGGCTGCGTTTCCCAAAAGCATCGTAAGCCAAATGATGACAATGGTTCTTCAATCGATTTAGGCTTAAGATGCTTTTGGGAAACGCAGCCCTGAACGTTAAGTAAAGAGATCGAAATGAAGGTTTAAAAAAGATCAAATACATAACGAATATAAAAATATTACCAATAATAATACCAATAAAATACATGGACTTACAAGACTTGTGGGATGGATAAAAATTTTTTTATGTACTTTATTTAACATTTATTCATAATAAACTTTATTCGACTTTGTTAATAAAACGAAAACATGCATGTTTTAATGCTAGAGAATAAAAGTAAACGATCCACCCGCAGGCTTCTGCTCATGATGGTGCCTGGATCAGTGAGCTGTGTCTCGGGCCGATGACGTCACTTCCAGGGAGGCATGCCCAGGCCTGTTGTACACGCCCCCGTCCCTTGGCTCCACCCCCATGTCCAAACAGTGCCAGAAAGCGAGACACGCAGAAACGTGAAGCGCAAAGGGAAAAACGGTATCGCAAGCTCAAACTTGACTGAAACGGTGTTATTGTTCGTTGAATAAAAAAAAATAAAATAAAAAAACATGGTAGATTCTTAATCAGAGTATTGTCTTAATCGTATTCAAATCGGAGTATTGTTGTCCATGTAAACGTACTGACTGTCCTATAATGAGCTCTTGCGCGGGTTTGCTTACTGGCACCCCGGGACTCCTTCCTTCTGTTCTTCTAACCACGTAATGCAACGCAACACACACAGTGAAATTAAACTGATTTCGTTATGACAAACACTCGCAGGTCAGAAGAATAGTTTATTATCTTTATTTTTGATCCACACGTACACGGACAGAGACTCGTTAAGATCGAGGGCAAAAGGAGAATGATGTCAATAGACTGATGAAAGCTCTCGCTGGACTCGTGTTAATTCTTCTGACTCACAGTGTTGCCATGCTCGCTTTGGTAAACATCGCAAGGTTTTTCCTTGCATTTGATATCATGCAAGGAAGATTTATCTTTTAATTTAAAATAAAAGTGCACTACATTTTGTGCTCTTATATAAGTTACCAGTAGACACTTTATTATTATATTACATATTATTAATTACATAAATCGATGCATATGATACATAGCATCTACCAATAATACGTGTGCCGTGTCTTTGAGCAGTGTGCCGTTATTTGGCCTCTGTTGACATTTTGCTTGTTTGACAGTTCTGTAATCAAAACAATGACTAAGGTCCAGAAACATACTCACATTTTAAGTTGGACGTTTATGTCCAGATCGCAACTATACACATAGTTAAATTTGTCTGTGTCCATCTTCAGTAATCGATGAAGTGTTATGAAAAACCGTAGTGAATGAAACAAAACAGATAAAAAAGAATAACTAAATGCAGATTTCTCAGGCGGTGGGAGATAAACTGCAGGGCAAAAGACCACAGTGCAAAGACCCTGCACTGGATCTGCTGGAGCTTTTGCTTTTCGCAGCACTTTATATTCTTGATACAACTCTGTCTGATTAATGAAAACCAATATGGCCGGTCAAAAATACTATCAGTCTTAATTTAAAACAATAATAAAGCATCTGCCAGGGCTTCATCGCTTCCGTTTGTAGAAAGGAAAACATTATAACCAGACGTAAATAATCGATGTCAAATCAATCGATAGCCGCAGCGACTTGTATGGACTGAACGGATCAGAAATGGCTTCTTTGGTCTGGTGGATCCCGGTGACTTCCTGTTTGGTTTAAGAACGGATAGTAATACAGGACAAATTTCGTAAGGCGTTTAAAAGTCCTCTTGAATTGCATGTTAGTTGTAGATTGAGTACAATTGTTTGCAATTTTCTGAGTTTAAACTGAATTAAGGCATATCACTGTAAATCATAGATTTTTTTTCTGAAACATTTGCATTAGTTTTATTTATTTAAATGTTTAATTAATTTAATTATGTACTGTATTTCATAAATCCCCCAAAAATTAATCTGTTTGAAATCTATTTAAATTGCAATCCATTGTAGTCTCGGTGTATTAAGAAATTGCCAAAGAGAGAGAGAGAGAGAGAGAGAGAGAGAGAGAATAGCAATTGTTTATACATTGCACTTAACCCAAGTTGTGATTGTTGGATCTGCTGTAAAACCAGTAGGTTATGGCCTTTGTCAGCCATTCTGCACAGCAGGTGGACAAGTCATTTGCAATTGCTATCTGTCTTTTGGGTGCATGAACGTAATATTCTCCAAGTATGTTCTCCAATGCAATGGACATTTTATTGGTGTTTGTGTATATAGGCATCTCAATAGGTTGTACTTCCTAAAAACCTCATCTCTCTTCACACAAGCGTGTTTCTTGCCATCGTTTGTGAGGGCAGAAAAAGAACCAAGCCAATAAAAAGATTAAGAAAACAAACTGTTCTTGCTTTTAATTTACATTCGCTGGCAGCTTGGCATTCGATCACTCACATCCTAAATCTTAGTGCAACTTTGGGTCCCCCCTGCACATTAGTGTGTGGTTATATAATAAATGGTGATGAGTCAGACTGCACAACAGAACAGGACCGCAGTCCATTACATCCTCCGCTCGGGACTCAAGAGCTGTTAAAGAGGATAAGGCTCATTGCCACCCCTCATGTGTTCCGAACACTCACAGAGGGGGCTCTGCTTCCTTGCTCCCAAGTTTAAAGCCACATTCCTTTGAGTTGAAGCCAAAGGGCAGCTGCACTCTTGGGATGACGAAGGTTTCCACTGGCTAGACCTTACCAGGCCTGAACTTGTATATTCAGGAATTGCTTATGACCCAGCAATAATTGCTTATATGATGGATTAAATGTTTGCAGGTACACTCTAAAAAAAAGGTGCTAAATAGCACTAAAAGGGGTTCATTGGCTTGTAATGATGGGGAACCACTTCAAGTGCTATATAGCTTCTATCTTTAAGGGTGCTTTACAGCACCTTTGTCAAATGGTCTTACTGTATGTAGAACCATAAGTTCCCCATTCTCCTCCTTACATTTTAGATATGTTACTCCACTCTCATATGTTTGCTATGATGAATGGGAATTTACTTCAATGGCAAAAGCTGTTTTGAATCACTTTTATGCTTTTCTGAGGTCAAAAAGTTCCATGTGAGGACCATGGAATATATAGGGGGCCTTGGGGGCAAAATGGTCGAGAGTCACATTATCTTCAGGAAATACACTTTATTTTAATTTCATTTTTAATCATTTCCCCAACTAAACTAAGGGACTAAGATAGAGTTAGAGAACTATACAGGAATTTAACAGGTTCTTTATATGGCATAATTGACATTGGTGCAATATAGCACCTTAAAAACCCCAAAGAACCCGCTGAAGAACCATTTTGTGTGTGTGTGTGTGTGTGTGTGTGTGTGTGTGTGTATGATCAGTCTGAATTATGTGCATTGCATTTTTGCATTCATTTTTACTTTTAATAAAATGGATAGGGAAGTTTAAATTAATTGTAACCTGTAACCTAAAATGCCTCCATAGAATATATAGATTGATTTAAAAGAATTATTTAAACAAAAAACACATCGACTACTATGTGAGGCTCATTTAAACAATGCTTATATTGTTCAGTAGGAATAAATCGGTGATTCCCAAACAGTGGTACCTGTAAATCAGGGGAACTTAGAATTTTTTATTTTTTAAGGTGACATTTTAAATGTGTAACAACAAATGTGCTGGAATTTTTAGTAGTGTAATTTACTTCAACAATGTATTGTTTTTAAATGTGCTAAAGAAAAAAAACACAAAAGAAAAAAAGAAATAGTAAAAAAATAGTACAAATTCTGAGAAATAGTAAAAATTCTGTTCCTTTTAAAAAAGACACAAAATAATATGTTTTGTCCGTTTTTGTGGACGACACATGTAACCCATCTTTGTTCATATTTCAGTCATTTTCTCAGCAATAAAACTCTCTTACGTATTTCCTAAAATTCTGTTCTGGGTAAATAATCTTTTCCTAGAACTGTATTACAGATTGGCTACATAAGACACAGGTTGGGAAACAGTGGGATAGGTTACCTAAGGTTTACCATTAAATCAGAAAATGTGCTGCCAAAAATCAAGTGTACCTGTTGAATAGACTTATTCATAACAGCACTTTTAGTTACTTCTTACATTTAACGACAATAACCAAAGATTAATTGACAACCAAAAATTGTGAACTTCTGCCCGATGGCCTTTTGGCAAGTTTTCTGCTCCTATTGGACACAAATCATGTCCTATGAGGCGGAAATGTTTAAATACGACACCAGTTCTAACGTTCAAGCAGATGGGAACATGCTAAGAATGCACGGCCAGAGCAGAGGAGAGACTGTGAGTCACTTTGTCCAAACTGAGGCGCTAGTAGTCAGTGCCATAGAGCAGTAGTACAACATGCAGTACACAGGGAGGAGCTTTCAACACCTTTCAGACTACTGTGGGGTGACACAGGCGTGAATGCAACAAACAGACTTTGTGGTACCCCAGGGCCTCCTTGGAAAATGCCTGTTTCTTCTATTGCAAATTTTTCCATCTTGATAGCAAAGATGACGAGAGATGAGCTAATGTGCAAACGAGTATGTAATGTTTGGTTCTGGCTCAAAGAGCGTTACCTTCTCGGCATCCGCTCAAAGCCTAATCCCTCGCGCTCGACACCTACCTAGGATCCTTCCTTAACAACAAAAAAGCAGTTCAGAAATATTACATCTTCATCTTCTCTGGTCATAAACACACACACCTGCAGCGGTAGTGCAATAAAAGTCCAATTCTGCCTTTATGAGCTTCCTCCTGCTCATGAACATCTTCAGCTGGAACAGACCCACGTGAGGTCACCGCGGCCATGACATCATCAGCATGAGCTCAGTCCAAAGAAGCAGACCAGGGTCACGGCAACCTGAGGACCACAGTTGTGATGGATGCCTGTGTTTGTGTGTTTGAAGATCACCTAGTAACCATTTGGTGATGTTGAGAACCACCCGTTGACCATCCTCAGGATGCATCTGAGGTGACATCTGACAATAAACTGAATGTTGATGCATCCACTACAACCCAAATGAAAACTGCCCTATTAAAAAATAATATATTTAAAATACATTTATTTCATACTAAGTATAGTTCTGTCATGAAAACTCTCAGATAGTTTAGCATGGTAATGTACATGACAATGTTAATGTGTTTGGTCTTGGCGGAATAGATTTGCTACGCTGCTGCTGCTGCTGCTGCTGCGGCAGAGCAAGTACCGAGACTTGCTACTGCCAATACATCCACAACATGCTGCTGTGAGCATGTAAGAAATACTGCTGCTACATATATAACATGAAATAACTCCCATATAGCAAACATGAATCACCCCGTAGCAGATCATATTAATTTATTATATTAATTTAAACAATTATTATAAAACAATTATTTAAACTGCGTGTAGGCTATATCAAACTGCGTGTTTTCAGTGTAAAAATAAGGGTCGTTTTTGGCTTTGGACTAAAACAAAAAGCAGAAGGGCTTATTGAAAAATGCAAATTCATTCTCTCTTCATTCTTTTGCTTTTCGCCAGGAATATAGCCATTTCCCTGGTAACTGCAGTCAACAAAGCAGCGCAGCACCTGATTTTGCAACTTGCAACGCTCATATTTAATCAGTTAAACCATAGCCTTTTGAAGTGTAAGCTATATCTCAATTTACATGTATATTTAGTTTTTTTCACCGGAGCACCACCTGAGTCTTCTCCCATTTCTACCAGTGATCATTGTTTCCTTCTACCTGCGCATAAATCAATAGCATCACTGGGCTGTATGTTGCCAAGTTGAGGGGACAAATGGGACTTGCTACTGCCAATACATCCACAACATGCTGCTGTGAGCATGTAAGAAATACTGCTGCTACATATATAACATGAAATAACTCCCATATAGCATACATGAATCACCCCGTAGCAGATCTATACAGGTGGCATACCGGTCAACATTTGGGTACCAAAATACGGGAAGGGTGGGGGGAGTGGGAGGCGGAGTCAAAAGTAAAAATTTTTATATTATATTATATTATATTATTTTTATATTAATTTAAACAACATATCAATAGCATCGCTGGGCTGTGGGTTGCCAAGTTGAGGGGACAAATGGGTTGAAATTGGTATGCGTCGATCGCGTGAGAAAGATGTGTTTCATACAAGATCTGGCAACTGGACAACCTTGGAATTTGTTGCCCATACAAATTATGGGAGTTTTACCAGAAGCGAATGTAGCAAACAAATAAAATACGCTGAGTGGGATTTTTTTTTATAGAAAGATTAAAAATATGGTTGTCATTATGTCAGATTGAGTTAGACCTATCGGACTGCGCCATCAAGAGTTTCATGCCAGAACTTTGTATTTCAAATCTATCAACATATTTACTGACATATCACTTGAGACTTACTGATATAAAAATTATAATTAAACTTTATTTGGAATACTACTTGTGCACAATGCACATTTCTTAATATTAAGCCTAAATGTGTTTTAATGTAATTTCTGATGAGTTGAGGATTGTATGATCTTTGAATAATATCAGTCCTTAAATGCGAGATATTTAAAGTATACCTGAAGTATTGTAATAGTTCCACTTTAGCACAATCAAATATACTTCAGTACATCTTTAGTTGGACTTCAACACTATGTCTGCACAATTAAACTGTATTACTAGTTGTTCCAATTTAGCAGACTTTAAGAAAACTAGTTTAGTATACCAACAGTACAATTGCAGAGTATTTTTATTAAGCACATAGATATGTAAATGTATTTGTTGTATACTTAGCATGAAATAAATGTATTTCAAATAGATTTTAGTATATTTATTTTTCCCTGGTGTTTACACTGCCCTGCATCATATTTGCTGAATAACATCCAACACTTGTTTCTTACTAATTTTGGGGTGCTCATTCCAAAAATAGGGCCTGTTTTGCTCTGTGGCATTTTTAGCATTTTAGCATTTTCGATTTTGACAACCATTTGTAAGGTCAAAATGTCTTGTATTATATCTTAATCACCAAATATCTGTGTGGTAATATGCCACAAAGACATGATTACTATCTTCCTTTGAGCAGTTACAACTATTTGTTCAGTTCTTAGCCGATTTTCACATATATGAATGATTCTGAAGGTAATAAATAAATTAATTTATTTATTTCTAAACTTGTGTTTACGTAAACTTCTTTGACATTTAAGGGAGTCTTTGAACATATTTTTACACTCCTTTGTGTTAACGTATACATTTTCAATACATCTTGTCATTAAAACAGAAACATTTGGCATTTTACTGCTTTTGTTATTTTGATAACTGGATTAAAGCGGATACATAGACCTACTACATATATATATATACATTTTTATTATTTTGGGGGAAAAAACTGGGCATGATGGAAGTTTTATACTTTTTAACTCAGCATCATCAAATTAGGTGAAATTAGGCCTTTTTTTTCCAAATGTAGGGCTGTTATCTTTAATTGGCAACTCATGTTATCCATATTTGTTCAGCATGCTGTCTCGCGTCAACTTTTTCTGTTTCTTGCTCTCCAGCTCTCTTCCCCACCTCTCTTAGTCATCCCAGGATGTGTCAGAATTTCTATAGTTTTTCAAGGTCATGCCCAGTGGAGCGGAGAATGGCAATCACCGGAGAGAAAGAGCAAGTGGTGCCAAGCCACAGCTTTTTCCTTTGCACACCCCCTAACTAATCTGCCCCCACCCCAGAAACACACCTCAGGTAGGGGGTAAACCACTCCTCACACCCGTCCCCGTGAACGCATGGGGGTATAAATGGAGGATGCGAAAGAGGAGAGAGAACAATTCAGAGGGTGATCGAACAACTCAGATGGATCCCATGGCGAGACATGGTGTGATGATAATCTTCATGGCCTCTTTGGTGTGGATGAAATGTTCAGCAGCACCAATGCAGTGCCACTTCAACTCTCAAGGTGAGACCAGCTGTCCCGTCTCATGATATTTCCTCTAAATCAGTTTTATTTGGAGTGCACTTGTTGATCAGGCACTCTCAGGACTTGATCTTCAGTGTGCTCGATGTCTCTCTTCACAGCTCTGTGTGAGTATGATGGGAAGCAGTACTCTATGGGAGAGAGCTGGATGGAGCAGGGCTGTGTGCAGTGCACCTGCCTGCACCCTGTGGGAGTGGGATGCTGCGAAACGTAAGAGTCGTAACATCTTGCATTAATTTCTCTATTGGATAATAAATAAAAGAACCTAATGAATGGGAATCTTGAGATTTTTCTGTTTTATTTTGGTGCACTGAAAACGAAATTACACTCTTGAAAACCCTTATTTTGGAGAATGTACACAGAATGTAGTTAATTTTAATTTATATTTAAATCAATCGCTCGATTACAGTGTGCATCGGCCTGTGGACTTTCCTCCCTGGTGTGAAGTTCGGGTTGAATCTCTGACCTGCCAGGTCACACTGGTGATGACCTCTGATCCCCGCCTGCCCTGCATTCCCGGAGAAGAGAACAATGTTGATCCAAGACATGGAGCACTCAACATGAAACTAGAAGGTTAGCATGGAGGAAGACTTCAAACGACAATTCACCTGCCTGTCAGCTAACATCTGTCTCACTATTACGTGAGATGCAATATTACTTCTATAGAACTTGTATTCTCGAAGCATAACCATTACCATTTAAGTTCTCAATTTAAAGGAAAATAGGATGTGGTTTTACATGTATAGCATGTAGGAGAGGAAAGCATTCTATTGAATTATCTGGAGAGACAGATGGGAAGTTTTATATTTGTATGGAATGTTATGCATTGTGTATATTAATTTGTGCTTATTCTGCCATGTTATTATCACATCACTATAACACAAAATATTAGCACTGCATGGCCTGTTATTATCTCTTTTACATATTTTTAAGCTCAGAGAGCAAAATTAAAAGTGTATTCCCTGTTAAATAGTTGCAAAAAAAAAAATCTTTATGAGACAAGCAATATTTTGATTTGATAATAAATTTGTTATATGTAACTGTTTGTGTCATATTTACAATGTTTACACTAATAAATATGTATAGAAAAATCATCTCATTCTTTTAATTTCTAAAAAAAAAAACTACAATAGTACAGTGGTTCTCAGGGGCCTCAGTGAACTTCCAAGGGGGCCACAGGATTACTTAAAAGTATTCAAATTAACAAATGATTATTACAAATTAATAAATGATTGTAACTATAATTTAAAATGCTAATAAACACAAAATCAAGATGTAAGCTGAAAACTATCTTTTCCCCCCTTTATACCTGTTGTTTTTATGTAAGAAAATAGTTCTTAAATCTGCAAGAATCAAACGTGGTTTATAAACTTATAAGCCTATTATAAACATACTATAAACCTATATATTTATTAATCTATCAAGTCTCATAAGTTCTGATTAATAAAATTTTTTTAATATAAGCAGCTTTGTCAGAATTACAGCAGAAATATGGTAATCCTGGACCACAAAACCAGTCATAAAATTTCAAGATCGATAAACCTCGAGATTTATACAGCATCTGAAAGCTGAATAAATAAGCTTTCCATTGATGTATAGTTTGTTAGGACAATATTTGGCTGAGATACAAATATTTCAAAATCTGGAATCTGAGGGTGGGAAAAAAAAATCTAAATATTGAGAAAATCGCCTTTAAAACTGTCTAAATGAAGTTCTTAGCAATGCATATTACTAATCAAAAATTAAATTTTGATATATTTACAGTAGGAAATTTACAAAATATCTTCATGGAACATGATCTTTACTTCATACCCTAATGATTTTTAGCATAAAAGAAAAATCGATAATTTGGACCCACACAATGTACAGTATTTTGGGCTATTGCTACAAATATACCCATGCGTCTTAAGACTGGTTTTGTGCTCCAGGGTCACATATTGTAGTTCACACAGGTGGGACAACCGTTTCAGAAATCAAACCACCAGAAATCAAACCTCTCAATAACAGTTTTATTCAGTTATGGTTTGCATATAGAGAAATGGTACAAAATAGCTTGTAATAGAGAATTGAAATACAATAGAAACCATTTGTCATTATAGGTTGGAGCATACGAATGAAATACAGACAATAAATACAGAAATCTTTACATTACAGGAGGTAAAGCAGTCTGTTGGTCAAGGCTGAAATGTGAAGTAGCTTAAATAAAGAATTGTCATCTCATTGCACGGCAAAAGATAAAAACCAACAAAACAACTCTAAATATAAGCCACCTTTGAATTTAAAATAGACCACTAACAGGACATCCCGCAACAACAATAACTCGTTAGTTTTATGATCTCCCTGCACAAACACCAACACAACTCAAATGTTGATGCTGTTTGTCCCTGTGAACTGTGAAACATATGAAGCTAGCGTGGGATTTGTGGGAAGCACTTTGATTGGAAGGTCCCAACTGAAGGTGTCCACATCCACATGCTCTGCCCCCGTCCATACTGTGACTTCTGACTGATTCTGCAGAACCACCGGTGCCTCCACTGGCTCCCGCGCTGTTACGAACTCAAAATGCAGACGCCATCTTAACGTCACTGGGGAAGAGAATAAAATCACCGAATGAGAATGTTGCCTTATCAGTGTTCACTTATTTCCTTTACTCACATATATTTGATAACAGATTTAAAACTTCGGGTTCAAACTGAACCGGAAATAAACCAATAAGTCAACCAAAAGCCACATTATCCAACTTTCAACATACAACTTTTTATGAGTGAAGGATTTCTAACCTATATCTGTGGTGAATCCTGGTGTGACATTGAGGGGTACAGGGAGAGAGAAATGGCTGGAGGCTGTGTGCAAGCAGGACTCTAGATGTCGGGCATGAGCAGTGACACTGACAGCCTGGCCGGGATGTCTCTGGTACTGCTCTTGGACCTCCTCCTCACTTTGTAGACTTACTGAATACTGAGCAGATATAAATACACATGAACACACTACAGGAGCACTTCATGAAACAATTACATTCTCAAAAATTTGCGGACAATTAGATAAGAAAAAAAAAAGCAAGGATGCATTAAAGGGGTCATATGATGCGATTTCAAGTTTTCCTTTCTCTTTGGAGTGTTACAAGCTCTTGGTGCATAAAGAAGATCTGTAAAGTTGCAAAGACTAAAGTCTCAAATCCAAAGAGATATTCTTTATAAAAGTTAAGAGTCAGCCACGCCTACCTAAAACGGCTCGTTCTAACACGCCCCACATATCTACGTCACTATGTGGAAATATTAGCATAATGCCGCCCAAATGTGCACACAAAGAAAGAAGGCATGGTTTCAGGAACAGCAGTCGTGTTGAGGCAGCCATGTCAGGGAGACGCTGTGTGTTTTCAACATATTCTGTTACACCAAATACACAAAATAATGATCTTTAAAATAGCATCATATGACCCCTTTAAATTGATCAAAAGTGACAGTAAAGACTTGGATTTTGCATTTATTTGAATATTATATTAAATAAATGCTGTTGTTTGAGCTCTATATTCATCAAAGAATTCTGAAAAAAAAGATTAAGCACTGCTTTTCAACTGTTTTCAAAATGAATTAATAAGAAAGCCTCTGAGCTCCAAATCAGCATATTAGAATGATTTCTGAAGGATCATGTGACACTGAAGACTGGAGTAATCATTAAAAAAAATAAATCATACCGTCCCCAAACTTTTGACCTGTACTATATACTATACCTGTAAACATGGAATATCCCCTTCTGAGAATGTGAAGGTGCCAATAATATCTTCCCCGAGCCTGTACACAGTCTTAAAGATGCAGAACTTAGCCACCTTTCCCCGCACGTTTGTGATGTTGAACATATCTGTGAAGGAAATGCATACATATTCACAATTGACACAGAATTCAAATCTAAGCAGAGGACCACAACATAAGAGATAGATGAATGACAAACACACATTCTTTCAAAGACACAAGCCTTCCCACATTCACTCACGCACATGGGCATCGTCGTGAGGTGGTGATCATCAGCATGTCCAGAGCTCTTTCTAGCGGTCTTGTATCTCTCCTGCTTCCTTCCTCCTCCTCCAGAAAGGGGTTTGAGGGAGCCACTTCCTCATCTTGGGGAAACGGAGGCTCTGGCATGCCTGCAAAAGAATATTTTCTTACACTGTGGAGACACTCTATTCACAGGCATATTTGTGTTAATTTATTCAACAACCAAGTATTCCTTTAGGTGTTAAAATAAAAAAAGCGTGTGGAAAGTGATTAATGCATCTCTAATGCAGCTTGCTGAAAATTAGCCTCTGCTTTGCATGGACAAGACTAACAGGGAGAAAGGAGACCATTTGTGCAACCTACCATGAAGCACTAAAACTCTGAAAGGGACTCGCAGTAACTTGATGGGTGAGTTGACTCGCTGGCAGCCAATCGTGAGCTTGTACACGTACTTCACTGCCTGACCCCGGAAACTGGGTGGACCATCAGTGGGCACAACCTCACTATAGGAATCTGAATGAGGGGAAAACATTATTTACTGGTAGCCACAGCTGAAAAAACCTGGCAGAGGTTTGTTTTACATGTGGCTGTCTCCTGTAGCTCAGAATGACATTAGCCAGGCATAATGTGCAATTACATGACTGAACAGCTGAACTTTGGCCAGCTGACTGTTGGTTTTAAGCCATGAACCAGTTTTCAACAGCATATCAACATTATCTGGGTCATCATGAGGAATTATTTTTCTGAACTGATTAAGGGGTTCACTTCTTATTACTGATGTTGTGAGGGCATAAACCATGTAAACAACACAAGCACTTATCAAAAGAAAATGTAATGGGTCATTTAGACCAAAAGTGCATCTGTGTCTGGTTTTATTTTCAGCTTCTTACAAGTCTTGCTCTCTCCAGGATCCAAGCGAAGGTCACAGAACAAGATCTTTGGTGGTGTGTCCAGCACACACTGCCCTCGTTCACCTGGACCAATGAAGAAACAACTGTGAAATCTCTCCTCTAAATCCCTGCTCTAAAATCAAGAGTTTTTCTGTGAATAAATCTGAGATTACAGAAAGCTGGATAAATTAACAAAACTGAAATGAACATCTAATCCTCGTCACAAGCACACTTTCTGATAGACTCAAAGTATTTGGCTTTTACTATGACAAGAAAGCCACAATTCAACACCAAACTAATAGAGAGATTACAAAAGTTGACAAGTTCCCAGCATACAGTGCCAACAGGACGTCTGTGACCATCTGAAATCATTACACTGCTTGATCTTCACGTGCTTTGTCAGCCATCATCAGCGGTTTCTTGACATTTATAAGGTTTCTGACTCAAGTAACTCTGCACTTGTTAAACTCTGCATTTTCCCCAATTAACAATGTGAGTTTGGCAGATTGTATTCGGTCATTTTTCTGCCCAGCATGTTTTTACCTACCTTCTGGTGAAGTACAGTAATTCATGCTGGATAACCTTTGATACATTTTTTTTATATTTTAAAGTAGAAGGTTATTTTAATATTGCATAATTGTGTATTTTTGCATAAGGTAAGTACAGCATCCTCATCAATAGAAATATTTTAAAGTAGAAGGTTATGTTAATATTGCATAATTGCGTATTTCTGCATAAGGTAAATACAGCATCCTTATCAATAGAAATATTTTAAAGTAGAAGGTTATTTTAATATTGCATAATTGTGTATTTTTGCATAAGGTAAGTACAGCATCCTTATCAATAGAAATATTTTAAAGTAGAAGGTTATTTTAATATTGCATAATTGTGTGTTTTTGCACAAGGTAAGTAGCATCCTCATCAATAGAACTATGGTTTCCACAACCTAAACATTTGCTTTTAGTACAGTATTTTCTCAAACTGCCAAAATTTTGAGTAGTTTCTGTTCTGAATTTGCTCACTGTTCTGTTCTGCTTCTAAAAATACCCAATTGCAACATGTGACATTTGACTGCTCTGACACAAAACTTGAACTGAATTGAGCTGGAGGATGACACTATTGTCTTCTGTAGAGCGGCTATAAAGCTGAATTGAACTAGTTCCTAACTGGAAAATTTTGCAGTGTTGACTAAATAACATTACCATTGTCTTCAGTAGAGCTACTTATCACCGAACTGAACTTGACTCATTATTGATGAATAATGGATGAATATTGATGAATATTACACAGTTATTAAATTAAACTGAAACAGCACTGAACTGACTGGAGCTGCTACAGCTGCTTTACAGCAGAATTTGGTATTGAGGGAATTTATTTGAAGTAGTTTGCATTATTGATTGTTTTTTTCCTCCTGTTTAATACTGTGAAGCTGCTTTGAAACAATCTCTGTTGCATAAAGTGGTATATATAAATAAAGGTGATGACATACAAACCACACAATTTTAAATATGGCTGCTATAGAAAAACTGATCTTCATTCGATTTTCTTTATCTTAAGTAAAACTAGTCTGATATTAGCTGCTCATTTTTCACCTCTGCTTGGTATCAGTACAGTGTCGCTCTCAGCTTGGACGTCCTGCTTGGTGCCCTGAGCGGGTAGAGCCACACGACTCTCACTGGCATGGAACTGGCAGTGGATCTGAGCACTGGCCCAGGCCAACATCTCACTGTGGAAGGTGAACAGACTCAATCCCAACTGACAGCACATACATATATATGTCAAAAAGCAACTTTGTGACTTTGCCTATGCTGATTACAGTGTTCTTTACCTGCTGGCAGATGTAGACAGATGTGATATAGGGTTTGTGAAGGTTATAAGACACTCTAAAACCTCCCCGGCCAAAAACACAGGCCCTCGTGCCATTGATGCCACCACCTCAATCATCTGAGAAAAACAGAAAGGTTATATGCAAGGTACTTGATGGTACTTGACTTAAGATGGTTTTCTGGCCTCCCAGTCTGGACAAGTTGGCTTATTGGTTTTAGAGGGGTTTCCAAACTAGGAGACCAGTTAAGGCCAGCTAAGACCAGCAAACCAGCGTAGACTGGTTTAAGATGTTTTTGGCAGGGTAGAGAGTAGGGGCCCGTTTTAATAAGGAGGTTCAACCAACTCTGAGTTAAAACTTGAACTCTAAGTTGACTTACCCTGAGATGGGAAACTCAAGAGTTTTCAGTTTCAGAACAGCTGAATTGTGTTAGTTCAGTCAACTCTGAGTAGGTTGACTCTGAGTTTAGTGTGTGCACCACGACTATGAGAAGTCATGATCAATAGAACTCCGAAATTATGATTCGCCATGGCAACAGCACCAACAAAAAGATGTCCGCATACTTTGAGTCAACGCATAAGTTTAATGCTTAATCACTGTTATAACAGAGGTGAAAACTGGCAGAACGGTAGGTTATTGAACTAATATTAATTTTCATGGCATCCCATGGGCAAAAAAAAAAAAAAAGAAGAAGAACGTGACAGCAGCTAAAAATTAAGTATAAAAACATTTCAATCAGGTAAAGCTTTAAGCATAAAATGTTCATGGGTGTAGGCTACATGACTTTACAAACATTTGATATATGAAATACATTTCATTCAGTGTCTATTTCATTGTGCAGCAGCTTTTTTTTTCCCACATACTCTAATCTTTTCACGTAGTCTAATCTTTTAACATAATTAAAGATTCTCTAATCCAACCGGTTACATTTCTTAATTAGAGTAATGAAATTAACATTTGACTTCTACTCAGTCAACAGCAAGAAGGCTCGCAAAATAATGAAGAACAGATGAAGAGGAGATGGCCATAATACCAAGTATTGGAAGAATACTAAAATCCAACAGTTAAAAAAAAAAAAGAATAACTCTTGCTTTTGTATTTGTAAGAAATAAAGATGACCAAATAAATTATATAATTCGTGTTTATGTAACAGCTGTGGTGGTGTTTACAGCATATATCTCGGACTACTTCCATATGGCATCCTTCCATTCCATATCCATTCCATATCTATCATTTTCGGAAGGTGTGATGATGGGAATATGCGCGTCATCAATGCATCCAACTACACTGGAAATTCTAAACGAAATTCTAATTATTGGGTTACTTCCAGAGGTCGCCGCAAGATGTTATCAAGTGAACGTCAGCGAGGCACACCATGGTTACCGCTCTGCATACAGCGGCCTCACTAATGTGCTCTGCATCCCTGATATAGAAAACTACCAAATAAATATGCATGTGGATATATGGCACAAAAAAATTTAACTCCCTAAGAATTAATACAGCCTCCTCATCTAGAGTATAAAAGAACATGCCATTTTTGTCACTTTGACGGGAAACAAAAAATAATCTCGTTTACGTTTGCATTAAGATGATTTTTCTTACCACATGGCGGATAATTTTACGTGTTTGAAGTAAAATGCACTTAAATGCACTTGTTTCCCATCAGGAAACAAGAATAAACTTAGGCTATATCATTTTTCTTATACAGAAAATGCATCGTGATTTAAGAATTTTTCGATATTTGTACTTGAAATAAGACAGAAATACTCAGTAAGAAAATAATTTTTGCAGCGTGAATGAATGAATGTGGTATTTAAACATCGCTTACGCTTTAAAAAGGGGGAGGAGACCGTAAGAAACTCTGGGTTTACCGAAGAAAACCTGCTCCCGACCAGGGGCCTGTACCATGATGGCAGATGAACAAATTCAGAGTTACAGGATTAGTTTCGAATTGACAAAACCGAACCACTCCAATCCGGCTTTGTTGGTACCATGATGCTGATCATCAACTTTCTTTGTCAACTCAGGCTTTGATCCTGAGTTTGCAGAGCACGTGCACATGAATGTGTGACATCACTGGCGAACAGCCAATCACGAGCCTTGGTTAAAGGTTAATGGTTTTGCTAAAGGTTAAGAGATTGAATAATATGATGAATTTAAATGCATTTACAATAAAAAAAAACTTGTTCATGAAAGAGGACAAATAAAAGAAATTATCTTGCTTTATCAGTGCAGTCACAGGTGAAACTTGTTATATACAGCGATAGAGACTCGAACATGTAAGGTCACGTAGTCATTTTTAAAGCATTATCCATTGATTCTACAGCTTATTTATATTACATACGATCTGTATATATTAACATTCATTGAAAATAAATTATTTATAATAACTGTTAAACTAAAATTGCTTGTGTGTAATGGAATAATATAAATCACATAATTATACAAATCATATAAAATAACTCTAAGTAATTATCATTAAAGCCAAACATTTTTTTAGTACTAGTGACCTTTAATTTGGAGCAAGTTAAACTGGGTGAGTGACTTTTTTGTGTCAGACATGTGTCACTTTGCTCACATCTGATTGGTCCAATTTCAGTTTTAGATCTCTAACTCAGAACATAACCTGCCCCCGAGCCTTGGAGTGTAAGTTACTATGGCAATGAACGCTGCTAAAAGCCAAGACACTTTCATGGTACCTAAAACCCAGGATTGGTGCAAACTAAACTGAAACTTACCTGGCTAGCAAGCTAATCCGGCTTCATGGTACAGGCCCCCTGGTTAGGTTCATAGAGTAAGTTACTACGGTAACTGACTCTGAGTATAAGTTACCTCCCTTTCAGAAACGGGCTTGACATACCCTGGTTTCTCGGGTTTGACAAACCTCCCATTCTGAAACGGAAAAAACCCAGTTTCCCTCATTTCAGGGTTAATATACTCAGAGTTTTCACTTAACCTCCTTTCTGAAACAGGCCCCAGGTCATGCACTGTGGAGAATATCTTAGTTTTGAGAGATTTATATTTGATCTTATGCTTATTCTTTTAAGCAGTGGCACATGCCTTTCCTAATTATTCTGCCTCTGACACGAAAATATGTGCAAAGCTTGACTGTAGCTACAGAGCAGCGTATATCTATCTATATATATCTATATACACACACACACACACACACACACACACACTCAATTCTCAGGGAACACACATACTGATAAAAAATGTATAGCCTGAATGCACTGTAAGTCGCTTTGGATAAAAGCGTCTGCTAAATGCATGAATTTAATTTAATTTAAATTTATATCTACATTTAAAGAGCTGGCGTCGTGCAGCTTGGCACAACGACGAATATTTACAATACTTGCAGGAAATCATAACATTCTTTTATTTGTTCCCTTTACGATGCCTCGAAGTTGTTTCTTTATTTCTTCCCGTCGATTTTTTTTAACGTCGTATTCCTAACCACAGAAGTTAAAAGAAAAGTGTAGCCGGCGACGCTCCAACTACTTGAAAACAAAACAACCGGAGGCTTGTCTTGGCCAATATAAGGTTTCCCTGAGTTTTTTTCCAAACGTTGTTCAGGCTACATTCATGAACACAAAAGCAAACGCTGCCATGACATGGAACTAGACTTTAGAAAAATCTTCGTTATGCATATTATTTTGATTTACTCAGTAAAACATGTCACGAGAAAGTATAGGATGTAACATCTTTTTCTTAACTCCGGAATAGCGATGTCCAAGTCGTGAACGAATCGTTCTTTTGAGTCAACTTGTTTAACGAATCAGTTCAAGATGTTCACTGTTTGAACGATTTGTTCGCCAATCAAACTCAGAAGCTGCCAACAAAAACTTTATGAATAGATATTATAATTCAAAAGCAAGTTTAGATAATCAAATTTGCATTTACATTAAGAGATACTTACATTTATTTATATAACTTGGCAGAAAATAATATTTCTTATGATTTTAACAAAAATGCCATCGTTTAAATCAACGACTAACAAAGGTTTTTAAAATGTTAATCGAAAAACATAATAAACAGCAATATGTGTTTTACATATGGCTTTACTTGAAGAATACGTAATATACCGGGGTGGTAAACCACATAACGACTTAAAGCCTTAAAGGGATAGTTCACCCAAAAATGAAAATTTGATTCCCGAATGAGTTCGCGCGAGAGAACGTAATCTTTTCGTTTTAAGTCGGTTTGAACAATCCGGATATAAGCACAAGTAATTACCATTTTGATTAGCCGTCGTACCGCGTGCCCAAAGACAGTTGGACATAGTGGTGTATTAGAGGTAAAAAGAAACAAAGTCACCTACATCTTGGATGCCCTGGGGGTAAGCAGATACACATCAAATTTTCATTTTTGGGTGAACTATCCCTTTAAGCCTTACACGAATTACTGAATTGCTTTTGAAATGATTCTTTGAACTGAACCATTCAAAAGAACCGATTCGAATAATTGGCTCCGTGGCAAATGTGACGTAAAAGTCCCATCCAAAATCACAACGGGGGTGGAACGGTTTCCTCAGAAGAAGATAGTTAAGAAAAGTGTAACATTTAATATTTTAGATAGTCAAGAGATGGCTTATAAAAGAAAATAGATACAGAAAAGGGTTTGTGTTTCTTTGGAAAATACTGAAATGACGACACTCTTCTGTACGTTACCTCCCTGAGGGTGAGCTCATTGGTATAAGCCAACAGAAGGCCCTGTATACTGCTCTGTCACTGGGAAATTGATGTCTGGCTTTGACCAGTTCAACATTAAGAGATCGCGATGTGCTGTTCTGCATAAGAAAATGTGTTCTTTACTTACGGAATGCTGTATAACGTTACATGCTTTTCGTCTCTAAAACTTAGCGTTTGCTGTTCACTTTGAAAAAATTCCCAAGATCCAACCGCAACAAAGTGGAAGCAGCAGCCACAGGGACACGGGGTGGCTCTACTGACATAGTCATCATGCTGGCGAGCGTCAAAACAAGTGCATCTCGCCACTGACGCGCAGACCCCAGGCAAGGGTAAGAGAGATTTACACTCCTCTGGTGGACTGCGTGGATGAAACAATAACAATAACAATAGGAGAACATTAATTATGCATGGGCAATCTAAAAGCAAATGTGACATAAGTAGCCAGACGTTTACAATGGGGCGATGGGAAAGGGTGCAAACGCATATTGGACGTTAAAACATCATGTCTCTTTCATTAAATATGTCTTGCCGAAGTATGATTCTGTAATGGTGCTGCATTTTGCAAAATAGGGCGGAGTATGAAGTAATAATTATTTAAAGCAAAAAGACAGTAAAAGTGCCTAACTTTTATAACATGATGCTCGTCTGTCTCAGAAGGTAGGCTTACTATTTTTTATAGAATTTACTTTTATGAGCTGTATGTGAGTTTGCTTTTTTTTTGCAGCAGCAGCACTGATGTTTGGGCCATGTCTAAATTAATTGTAAAACCATAATTTGTGCGATTTGTACATTTCTAGCAATAAATTAATTGACAAAAAAGTAATTTGAATATAAAAAAATTAATAGAAAATTCCTAAATGGACAAAAAAAAAAAAGCAAATAAAATAATATATGAAAACAAATGGATATTGGACAGCGCTAAATATATTTTTGTTGTTGCTGTTGAAATAAAAATGGTTTAGTAATAATAATAATTAATTTATTATGTATTTGTTTATTCTTCTTATTATTCTATTGTTTTATTTCAGTGTAAATACATTGAATTTCAGTGTAGTAGATTATGTCGTAACATTGTATGGTTTTAATTGTTAAGAACAGTAAAGTATGTCAGAATATCTTGATGTGGGATGGGATGCGGCTCTACAGATATCTTATTTGTTTGGCCAAGTGAATTCTACCATATAGAAAAAGATTTGCCTGGCCCAGGGGTGAAATGAAGGAGCTATTGTTATTTAATTAAAAGGAAAAGGATCAGGTTACATCTCCAGCCCGTGGTTGTTGCTGGCAACTGAACTCTGTCATTCCGTCACCCTGTTGACAGGTGAACTTTGCGTTTGAATGTAGATCACCTGCCCATGCATGCAGATCAAACATGTGATCTCAACTCTTACTTGCACAACACAGTAGGCAAGATGTAATTTTTCAACCCATGTGTCATTAAGCTTATCTGTTGTTTTATCCTTAAAACAAAGACATATTCTATATTTATTAATATTTATTATTAACACTTTTGTCAATTTTGCCTTTTTTCAGAGGATTCAGGGAGCCGATTTTTACGGTTTTGGTTTGGACTGGTGATCCAACAGCTCTACTATGGATTTAAATGACAGCACGTCTCTGGCTGAGCTGATGAGCCGGTATGTGTCTACAGAAACAGGATTTGGTGTTCCAAAGGATGGCTGGCGGATATGCTTGGCACACGAGTTCAAAGAGAAGCGGAAACCATTTCAAGCCAAAGATGTCTCATTGACCAACATGATCGAGCATGTTTCTTTAGGGGTCAGGTATGTTTAACAAATCATATTTCAATAGAAGAGCCTCAGATCCACTTGGTCATTCATTTATTAGTCCTCACGTCATCTACAGGAAACACAATTACTAAAGAATAGAATTTGTTCACATCAAAAGCTGCCGAAATAGAATATTATACACATCTCAATGGCCTTTTGCTTTATACCAATATGTATGGTTGAAACAGGAACAGGAAATATTGTTCAGTGGTTATATTTTGACCACAGACGGACATGTTTTCATTCCCTTCTTCTGCTAAACCCTTCCCCACTTGGTTCTTAGCAGCTTTATTTAGTCAACCAATGTTATGGTTACTGATAATATCTTCCTAAAAAAGACAGCTCATTTTGTGTATTGCATCTCACATACTAGTTAAACCAGAAATCATTTTTGGGTTACCTGCAGGCTTGTGTAGCAATTGTATTTACCTGGATCAGGTGGGGCTGTTTTCCCTCTCTAACACTATAACTAATACATTTCAATGAACTTCCTCTCTTTGTATGGACCTTTGGATGTTCCTGCTATAAACAGCTTGATAGCTGTTGACCTGGGTTTAGATTCTGGATTTTGTTGTTGTGATTATTTGTTAATGAACTATTATTTTATCTCCAACATCACACTACAGCTGCATGGAAGTGTAATGTCCACTGAGGCTGGTTAATCAGTGTCGATATCAGTCAATATTGACCCTGTGTGCTGTTTTATTCCACGTTAATGTTTGACACAACAACTGTCATGAGCTTTATAAATCTTTACTGTACGTTACCATTTAGATAATCAGTCCTCTGATGTGTATGTGAATACTGTATTCATGAATTATGTTGCTCAACCTTGACCACACTTGATTGATTACTCACTAGTAGGGCTGCACGATTAATCCATGCGGATATTTAAGCACAATCTTGTCAGAAAGCCGGTTCTGTAATCAGCGGTAAATCTCCATCACCTGCGGGCTTTCACATTGAGCAGCA